ATTTTTGTTTCCTCTGAATGGAACATGCACAACTAAATTCAAATGCATGCAAACACTTTTTGTCAGTTTATATATGAAACATGGGATGAGGTTCAGAGCTTTCTGTATGGAGATTCAGGAAAAGGACAGCTATGATCAGTCATTTTCCACATTTGAACTCCTAAGTTTATCTTAAAAGTTGCTTCTCCATTTAGTTATTTGAACTCCTGGTGGGGCCCAGTGGAACAAATAATCCAAAATAGTGGATAATCCAAAAATGTCATTTATATTTGGCTTTGGAATATACTACCAGATGTTGCTCTAGCAGATTTCCCTTCCTAATTAGGCCTCACTTAAAGTCGAAGTTAATTTTGTCCTCATTAGCTGTTTCCAAATCAGCAGGATGGGGCAAGGAGGAAGCCCAAGGCATGCTGGGTATTTGGGGGAAGCTGGCTCTGAGTTAATAGTTGGTGGTAGATCGTGTTCAAAGAATGAAGTTCAAACATGGGTAATCAAGACGATGGGCATATACACTGAAAATGTTCACGAGCACTGTCATGAAGTGTTCTCAGGCTTAATCAACTCTTTTTTTATCCTATTAATAACGAGTGGGAAAAGTCCATATGTAAATTAGGCAAAAATATTGTGAAATTTTGTGTAGAAAAAAATAGAGGCCGAGTGACCTCTCATATAGATTGAGCTCTCAGTAAATAGTATCCAATAAGTTGACACTGATTAATGAATGGTAAGAAGACCCCTCTGTTTCCTTCTTATTGATGATTTGAATAATGAGGAAGCAAGAATTCTCCTGGCCTAATTCGCATTAAGAGAGCTAAGATAATGAAGCTGTGATTAAATGGATATTAAACTATTTTTATCAAACAGAGATCAAGCAAGTGTGAGAATCTGGGGACACAGAATATAATTGCAATTCTACAAGATGCAAAAAAAATTACTATCATAAGCAGGGCATGGTCCTTCCATAAATCCTTCATGTAGAAGTTTTTGGGATACCACATGCAGTCTTCACTCTATGGTTCTCCCTTCGGTATTAGCGTCCTGATCCTGATTTAGTGGATTTGCTCACCCTCTGGAGTGTGCACTTCGGTGAGTTGACAACATGGTCTTCTTCTGCATTTAACCAGTCAAAAGGTCCTTCTGTCAGCAAAGCACAAAGAAGGAAAGGCCCGGATGCCATGTATCTGGTCAGAATTTCAATATCAAGGTAGTCTTGGCCACGGAAAGGGCACCATCTACCTTCTGTTACCTGCACAATTTGAATTATGTCAGACTTAGTACAGGTCACACAAGGACACAGCTGAGCCAAAGGCAGTGACAAGCTTCCAAATGAATTGGTCAAATGAATTTATTAAAGATGTGGTGTGGCCTAGGAATTTGGGGTTGTTAGTACAAATGCCAGTATGCTATCTGTTCCTGGGAACTTTTTATACCTGGAATGAGGTTTTGTGTCTTCTTTCCTCCTGGAAAGACCACGGAGAGTGAAGTTTTCCAGGCACCCATGATTTTATTCAAGTCAGAAAAATAGTAGCAGAATCACATTATGTTGGGAGAACCAAGTGTTAATTCCTACCCCCTCCCCACCAGTGTAGGAAATGTTGCTTGGTAGGGCCACTGTTAGGCCACTGTAGGAATGGCTGGTCTTCCTTCACTCTCTCCCACATCACTGCAGAGCTCAGTCTACGGAGATCCTACACAGCTGAATATTCCTTCTCTTTCTTCTAAACCTCTGGACTGTGCTGTGTGTCTCTGTCTCTGTCTCTGTCTCTGTCTCTCTCTCTCTCTGTCTCTCTCTCTCTCTCTCTCTTGCTCACCTCTTCTGTCTCATTCTTCCTTCCTCCTTCCCTTTTTTTAAGCCTTAGATGGACATACAAAGTGTATTCTTGCAAAACAGTAATTTCAACAATTAAAGAACAGTATCTGAGCCCAGTCTTTGAAAGGTTATCTTGCAATGTCATTTTACTGATTAATAATGTGTTTCCACCCCTGTCACTTGTGAATAGACATGTGTTCGTAGACCAGAGTGCTTCATCTGCAGCGACTTTGATTTATTTGCTCTGTAAATTGGGACTGAAGCAATAATGGAAAGTGACATTAATTGTTGAACGGAGTCCTCTTTGTCACATCCATTGCCTTCTCTGGGGCATGTGATTGTTGAAACTCATATGAAACTAATTGAAATTGCTGCAGTAAGGGGCAGTGTCCACTCAACTTTACATGTAGAAATATTTGCTGTGCTTTGACAGAGAAGTGTCACCAATAAAATCAAGTTTTCTTCTCAGACTTCCAAGATTAGAGAAAGATAAAATATTTCACATAGTAGCATATTTTTTCATAATTCAAAATCTGCAATCTTTTAGTACCTTTCTGAGTTGTTCACATAAAGGAATGATAAAAATATTTAACAATCATTTTGCATGAACATTACAAATAGTGAATACAGCTCTACGGAAACATGCTGGCTGAATACTTTCTCTCTGTATATACACATTCCAACACACCACACACACACACACACACACACACACACACACACACATGCCATGTTAATCTTCCATCCCACAAATATTTCCCTCTCATTGTGGGTCCAGTAGAAAGGAAAATTAAAGTAGTTGGTGGTTTAATCAGATCTTGTAAATTAATTATGACATTATCAAGCTCCAATATTTCTGCCATTGTATTTGGTATACATTCACTGAGGCTTATTAAAGAAATTGGAGAAAACTAGTTAATTTAAATGTTCTTTGTCATTTTGACTTGATTGGAATTATCTTCATTTGTTTACATAAGGGATTGAGTGAAAGCGCTATTGTATTATGTGATTTAAAGCAAATAGCAGCTTGTACTATTCCTGGAAAGCCAAACATAAAATTTAAATCAGGGTAAACAAAATTACTCATTTATTGGTAAACATTCATAACTATTTTCCTTGAGCTGTTTTTGGAACTCAATAAAAGAAACTGTTTTGAAAAATGGGATACATGAAAAAAAAGTCCAAATTACTGAAAGAATGTATGTGTGCTCCTGGGTAGGTATTTGAGATATTTTGAAAGATTATTTCATTGAAAATATGATGATATGCATTATAAAGCAAATGTCATGATTTTGAGGTGATTTTTAAAAAATATAAACTTCATTTAAATACAATTTTATTCAGAAGAGTTAAATAACCTGAATTGATATTTTGAAATTAGGGAAACTCAAAGACGGGGTGACTGGAATTTTTGGATGGCAGTTTATGATCCTGAGCAGAAAATCAGAGAAGCTTTTTTCACTCTTGTGACTAGGATTTCATGGATAGGGTACAAAAGAATTGAAGCTTGAAAGTATTCAATAGGCCTTTATTACTCAGTGGTGCTGTTTCGAATCTAATGAATTGGTCCGTGTAAGTGTGTCATTCTGAAATGAACAGCTCCCACTTCGGGTTAGGACTTACTTCTTTATTAGAGCTTACACCTTTATCTTATTGTCACACGTGTGTCACATCTAGTTGACTCAGGATCTCAGATCCAGGAATATTAAGGAGATGCATTATGCAAATATAAAAAATGCTAGTGAAAGTCCACCATCAGCCAGTAAAAATGGCCCTTCTTGGCCTCTTGAATCACAAAGAAAAAGAAAATCTGTAATTTTTTTCCTGCACAGAGACAGATCAGTATGAGGGAAACAATTTTTGTGTGAAAATAGAATGTATACGTGATAAAGCCCTGCCTAATTTCTCTAGTAATACAATTTGATTTTCTGATTAGCTGTCTTATTCTGTGATTCTTGTAATTTTGTCAGGTCAATTAACTGGAGCTCAGTGCTGGAGAGAAAGCAGTGTGGGCACCGCTGGCTTCATTAGATGTCAGCAGCTTAGGTGCATTTTGTAATAGAATCTGTGTGGGATAATTTAGCCCATATTGCTAATGTCATAGAATACAGAACTTAGAAAAGAATTTGGGAGCAGGTCAAATTGGGCAAACAATGTGAAGTGCTAGAAGAGGGAGAAGAAAGAAATCTGCATGGTATATATCGTTGGTGATAAATGCAGATCAATGAATTACTCAGCAAGTAATCACTAACTCTGTATCTATACTGTATGCCAACATAGGCACTGACTGTCCAGGTGCATAGAACATAACACATTGTCCTGTTAACAGGGAACCTTTGACTGTTTTTGTAGAATAATCAAACTATTATTATCGCTCATAGTGAATTGTTTATAGGTCCTTCTTTCCATCAGAGGGTTCTTGGAGATATAGAGTTTTGTCTTATTTTTTTTTTTTGTTTCATCAACCCTTAGCATGATGTTAGCATGGAGGAAGATACAGTGTTTCATAAAAATTGTTAGTCAACTAAAGACTTCAAATTGAGTAACAGTTTTGTTGTAAAAGAACCAAAGTTTAGGTTTTGGAGATGGGTAAGCTATTAGAAGGTAGAGATACCCAATTAGCAGATATAGAGATTTATGACTGAGATATCAGGGAAAGAAAAATTATTTTGGAGTGTTTGAAGAAGAGATTATAATTGCATTTATAAAGGTATCTATATTCTCTTCGATTTCCAGTGGTGTTCCAATGGAAGGTATTCTGCACAGGAGATCTAAGCACTATGAATGAAGATTAAGTAGAAGATGGTTAAGATTCCTTCAAGCCCTGCCAGTCTCTAAATCTATTCATTTAGTGAGGGGAAAAAGAGATGAACACGTGGAAAATGGCTGCGAGGAAGACAGAATCATTTACAGCAGTAGTAACCATTGACTTAATGCCTTGCTAAATTTTAGACCTCGACAGTCTGAGGTTGACACAGGGGAGTTACTCATTAATTATGTGACTCAGATCCTAAGTGAGCTTGGTGTTGGAGTAAGACACGATCCTGGGGTCCTTGCATAGGCAATCAGGATTTCACATACGACTTATTCACTGGCTTAGACATGTTCAGCTTATGTTGATTAATAGTGTCAGCTAACTCTCTGAGTCAACTCACTTCTTCTGTGGATTTTTTTTTCCTGTTTTCTGCAGAAGATAGATGAAGAAAATGAAGCAAACTTGCTAGCAGTCCTCACAGAGACACTGGACAGTCTCCCTGTGGACGAAGATGGATTGCCCTCATTTGACGCACTGACAGATGGAGACGTGACCACTGACAACGAGGCCAGTCCTTCCTCCATGCCTGAGGGCACCCCTCCGCCTCAGGAGGCAGAAGAGCCCTCTCTAGTAAGAACCCTTCCTATTGTTTAGCAGAAAACCGAGTTGCCTCTGGCTACCCGCTGCATGGGTATGATGTAGTAACAACAAGTAAGGTCTAGAGTTTTGATTTAGACGGATGCCAAAACTTTTCCCCAAGCACACTCAGAGTTGCAAATCCTGTGACCCTCTGTATAAAAACATTGTTAAGAGTTCTGAGTAGTATTACTTCATTTTGAAAGCTATCTTTTGTTGTTTATGTGTGGTACGTTTATTTCTTAGTATTCTCTTTGTAGTGGAAATTTAGAAAAAGTAGACAATTGGAAGAGACTAAAAATTCACCCAGGATTTCAAAAACCCTCTAATATAAAACAATCAGAGTCTCTTTTTTATTTAAGATAGATCATGAGCATGAGGGTGAATTTTAGCCATATGCATACTTTTACAGAATAGATTTGTAAGGAAATATTGCAATTTATTAAGCAATCCTTAAGTTTTGATATGTAGCTTTTTTCCCTGCTGTATTCATTATTGTGGCTTATATTTTAATTGATATGTCTGCATTTTTTCTTACAATTCTATAAATAGAATTGATGAATACAGCAGTATGCAATATTTTCAGACTTTGAATCCATGGATCCATATTTTTTATGACGATTGAAAAATAATAGTACAATTGCAACCTAAGTTGCTTAAATTTATAGGAGGCAGTGAAGAGTGAAGTTTCTTGTCAATGCAGTGCTTGATCAGAATTTTATTATTTCTCAGACACAGTTTACCTTCTCATCTATGATAGCCATTTGCAATTCACCATAAATCTGATGTAATAGCTTGCTGTGTAAATTATGAAATGCCATCATCAGGACTTTAATAACATGCCTTGACATGCCATTTAGAGGTTGTTTTTTTCCATATCTCTAAGCGTTAAAAGTAAAACAAAAACAAAACAAGCAAACCGATAAAAAATGCAGATAGACATATGGAGACTTTAGGTGTATTTTTTTTCTTTTTTGGTATTTTGATATTTCTGGTCTTGTGGGGAACATTTCAAAAGTAATTGACTTTTATGTATTCTCTGCTTGCTCTATTTGTCAGTATCATTGGCTTAGTACCCTAATTTCTTCAGTTAATGTCTGATGTTCAAACGGAGGGGTCATTGACTCAAAGACATCTGGCATGTCATGGTGGGGAGGTCCTTGAGAGTCATCTAGACAAATGAAGAAACAGAGATCAAGAAATAATAGATGCTTTGCCCACATTTAAGTTACAGCTAAGTTACAGAACTCTCTAAATGACTTCTTTCTTTCTTTCTTTCTTTCTTTCTTTCTTTCTTTCTTTCTTCTTAAAATTAGCAATAGCCAATGCTTTCTCCTATATATTGCTTGAATCAATAAATTTGTACAGTTGATTTTGAAGCACAGTTCAAAGCATCATGGAATCTTTCATTTATTGACATTGGATTTATATTGGTTTTAGAAGAGAAAAATTCATATCTAATCCTGTTCTATACTCCTCACTTAGAAAGGGGACATTTTTCAATTCATGCAGCAGTGATTTGGAAGTCGTTTTAACAATGATTGCTTTATTTTATCTAAAACAAGTTATAAAATATTAAGTGACAATACCAAGTCTCACAGGTAGGGAAAGTAGATACTTTAATAGTTGGCAATATAATCCTAAACTTACTGCTATTATCTAAAAAATGTTTCCTGTGTGACATGGTTAAAGAGTGATAGAATTGTTTTTATCATTATAACTAGTTAATTTGTTTAAAATTTCAGTGACATATTCTTATGCTTAGAAGATGCCTAACTTATCCTGTGTTCTCCTTCCCTTATGTGTTTCTAGCTTAAGAAGCTCTTACTGGCACCGGCAAACACTCAGCTGAGTTATAATGAATGCAGTGGTCTCAGTACCCAGCACCATGCAAACCACAATCACAGGATCAGAACAAACCCTGCAGTTGTTAAGGTACAGCCAGCAACATTTCAATATGAGAGGATGGTTACGAAGGGTTTTTGCTTGAAACTATAAAGCAGATGAAAGTTATCTATGTATTAATTCAACCGAGATACTGTAGCTACCACTTAATGGTGGGACAGGTTATGAAATGCGTTTCCAAAAACAACACTTGAACTCCTGGAAAGTAGGGAGAGTTCACCTATGTTTGATCTTTGGGTAATTGCAGTACAAGTGCCACTGGGTGTGATCCTTTGCCTGTTTGATTAATACAGGCAGTAATGTGGGCTACAATAGAATGGGCTGATAGTCTGGACTTATCTATGAATGACTTTAAAATGCAGGATGGCTGTTGTGCCAGCTGTCTAACCCAAGAAAGATTGCTTTGAATCACTGCAGAAGATCTGTCTCTGCCATTAATTGGATAGAATGCTGGCAATGACATAATTCGGTTAGCAGGCTGTATTAAACAATGTTTGTGTTGCCATTCACTGTGAGTGAAAACGGAGCGTTAAGGGGTACTTAAGAGAGTTGTGAATACTGGGCTTCAGCAATCAGTGGTAAATTAAGGTTTAAACCAGCTTATTTTTTTTTATACAGAGTAAAGGCGCTGTAGGGTCTTGTTAGTTACATGTTGCTGAGTAGGAACATTGAAATGTAGGAGAAATGAAATAAAAAGCTGCATAAATGTCATTTAGGAATTTTAAATGTAATTTTCTTTCCTTGTTCTGCAAACAATTATTCACAGCTCATAGATCTAGTATACTTAGACTGAACACTTCACTGAAAATCTCATCTCTTCAAAAAACCTATATCCATTCTGATAAGGTTCAGTTCACTAATTTTAGCTTTCTTTATGCCTTGTTTTTAAGACCGAGAATTCATGGAGCAATAAAGCGAAGAGCATTTGTCAACAGCAAAAGCCACAAAGACGTCCCTGTTCAGAGCTTCTCAAGTATCTGACCACAAATGATGACCCTCCTCACACCAAACCCACAGAAACCAGGAATAGCAGCAGAGACAAATGCACCTCCAAAAAGAAGTCCCACACACAATCACAGTCGCAACATGTACAAGGTAAGCTGGGGGCCAGAATTCTGCTGCTGAGGTGGCCAAGCACACACAGCCCTCTCACTCCATCAGTGTCTCTCTGTGGAAGGAGAGCTCAGCACACTTGATGCTAGAGGAGGGAAATTCATCTTGGACACAGGTTGACAATGTCCTGTTCACCTGATGGGGCTTTACATCGCGACCACAGAAAGACACCTGAAGTGGGCAGATGGGGGCGGGAGAGATTTCAACATCCTTGAGGTTTCTCAAACTCCCTGGACTGCTGAGATCACTGAAGTGATGGGCAAGTTGGGCTACCAATTCATTAAAGAGCTTTTATTTTTTCCTTTCCAGTAATGGAAAAAATGAGGCACCGTAGTTTTTTCTCTATACCTTAAGAAATAGTAAATACCATTTATGCAGCCACTCCTGACTATTAAGTGAATTCTTTTTTATGACCACATGTATGCTCACATTTTTTATTTTGTACATAAGGACTTGACAATTCCTGAATATTTTGCCCTTTCTATTAAAAATATTGCCTAGATTCAATTAAACATCTGGGTTGATTTTTAGTATTCCCTTACGTTGCTAGACGGCTGATGCTTCTGAGGCAGATTGGGGAGATTTGGGGGAGATCTCTCTTGACAAAGTCGTAATTTTCTTTGCTTTGCTTTTCATTTCTTTTTCTTTGGCTCTTCTCCCTGAAAATGTGTAATCTAAGAGGCCCCAAAAGGGCTTGTTGAAGGTAACTGTTGCTTTAAAGTATACCAGCTTCCGCTTTCTACCTAATGTTGTGGTGGAAAGAGGTGTATTCTAAAATAGCAATTATAAACAGCCACTTTTTTCTTCCCTTTGTTTCTCCAACTGCTCCTTCTAGGTGCAGAGTGGTAGCCCCCGACCCCTCTTTTGAACCATGATTATTTCATACAGGTATGCTGTTGTTGCTGCTGCTTTTAATAAATATTTTCTTTCCCAGTGTTTTGAATACCTCTCCCTCGTTAGTCTCTCACCCTTAGCATAGAATTGGGGGAACTTTCCTTGAATATTCTAAATTGGTCCTCAATTAGGTTTTCCCTGGTGAATATGTCAAATTCACCGTCCATCTCGTTCTGTCAGCTGGGGAGACCATATTTAGCAAAATGGGCCGAATTGTCTTTGCTCATATTAGCTTCTAAATGAAAACTGGTATAGCTTTTGAGAGTTGAGGTGCCTCATGCTGAGGGGATCACGGAATTGAAGGTTTCAGGTAAAGGGCAGCTTACTGGCCTTGCTCTGGAAATCACGAGGCTTTTCTTCACCTCCCTTGGGAGCCGTGTATTCATTTTCTGTAGCTAAACCTAAAGTCCTGAGATGCACAACACTGTGATCAGGGGACTCAGCCCATCACCACATGGGCTAGATTTCCATATTTTCTTGGGGGAGGGAGTGTCCCTTTTGGATTTTGAGGTTTTCTAAAAGTCTACTTATCACTAAATACTACTCTAAGCTTTTGTAGCTCATGGTGGTGAAAAAATTAAATAACCCCCTGGAGGATACAGTCTCTAAGCAAGAGCAGCTACATGTGAATTTTTTTGAAGGTTTATATCTAAGGCAAGACATAAAAAGCTTATCCTAGAACAGCTGGTTGATTAAAGGAAAAAATACTCGGTAGTAATTAAAGGCCCCAAAGAAAGGAAACATGGCAGGTTATTCATAACCAATAAGTGTCCAACACAGATTGTATAAGTTATTATTCAAAATCAAAAAATAGAAATTACATAAACAGAGATGATAGGGACAAGGGTAATGTTCTAAAGTTTCCTTCCTTAGAGTGCTGTAATTTGTTCTCATTGAATTTCATTTGTGCTTTCTGTAATATTGTGAGGTCACATACTTTTCAATTCCTTAGGATATTTTTGGTGTATGTTGTTTTTACATTTGTTTAATTATTCATTTCCTAATATATTTATCTAAAATTGACATGATCTGGTAAAAGAGATGCATTTCTGCCCTCGAGGATCCCAGCAGTGCTTGGACAACCAGCTCTAGGAATAGTGGTCCTTACGTTCCCAGTACCCCAAGTCAGTGTTCTTCCAGAGGAATCCTGTGTGAGCCTGAGTTAGTTCAGATTAAGCTCTGAATGTGATTTGAGGGCTTCATCCTTCCCACGACTCTCATTCCTCTTTGTCTTTGATGCCGTTGGTGCCAAATATTGCTGCTACTGATTCCTCTTCTCCCCTCACTCTTGGTCTTACCTGTATTTTGGGTGTTGTCTTTCTGCTTTTCAGAGAGCTTGCCCTATATGTTGAAAACTGGACTTTTATTTTCCGACTTTCTTTCTTTCTTTCTTTCTTTCTTTCTTTCTTTCTTTCTTGTTTTCTTCATTCCATCCTTTTTTACAATTCTGCAGGTTGAACTCAAGGCCTTTGCACTGAGACACAGCCCCAGTCCTTTTCAAATTTTTTAAAAAAAATTTGATCCAGGGTCTTAGAAATTGCTAAATTGCCCAGGCTGGACTTAAATTTGTAATCCTGCCTCAGCCACATAGAGTGCTTAAATTATAGGTGTACACCACCATGCCTGATTATTTAGCTTTTTTATTTTCAGTGTACATTTATTGTGTGATATTATACTTAGTTACATTTTTATAGAACCTTTATGAATTATTCTAATTATTAGTTGAGCATCATAAAAGGGGATAAGGTTCTTCCATAAATGCATTCCTTTTGAAAGGCTCATTAAATTAGACATTGTTAAAAATGAATAAAAATTCAGCTCATTTATCTGTATATCTGTGAAAGCTAATTAATCGATGGACCTAATTTGTAGGAGACAGCGTGAGCCTTGTATTTTTAGATGCACATTGGATAGATGATATACCATTCAATTGTTTAAAAACTAAATCTAAACCTACAGATTAAATATGTAAATAGTATTTATCCAAGTAAAGTATCTAATTTCAGGCTAATTTGGACATAAATAATATTTTCACGTTTCAGAAGACCTTAATTATTGAGGATGATTAATTTACTTTAAAGTCTGTTGAATACAATTTCATTTGGTAATGGGAGAAAGGAAGCATTATGTTGGCCAACTCTCTAAGTAACAAGTTTTATGGCCCCACAAACAACATTTGGCATCTTTAGGTCTCATTTCTTTGTCCATAAAATTAGAGAGTTTATTTTAAAGACCCTTTTGGTTTCAACTCTGTAACTTTTATTACATAAATAATTATCTTTTGAGCTTCTGAAAGTAGTTATTTAGTGAGAAAGAGATTGACATAAACCTACATACCTATATATCTGTGGATAAACATATCCCTGTATCCATACACTATGTGGAGGTATAACTTAAGTATGTTTGCCATCATTTTCTCTCTTTTTAATGTTCAATCTTGCATTTGCAAGTTTGACCACAAGGAATTGAAATACTGGAGTGAGAAGACTGATTCTCCCTTCATTATTGGACTATATCTCCTATCGGATGGGGGACTTAAGGAAGGCTTAGGAAGTAATGTGCTCTTTCTACAAGTCTATAGATAGCTCAGCTGATAAACTTTGTATCTTCCTTTAGTTGTCTGGCAGATTTAAGGACTTGAATGCCATTTAACCATCTGGGTCAATGCCCGCAATTTACTGCAATCTCTCCATTAATTTTCAGTGAATACAATGGTTAATGCTTGAGCTTTGGCCTCACAGAAATAACCTATTCTCGGGGCTAGATATAAAATTATACATTTGAGGAGTAAAATCAACTGAATATTCATAGCGTTCTGTTGCCTTGTAGTTACTCAGCTGTTTTCTTGTCTAAACAAACCGTGTACTGTATTCCAAATTAAAACAGAAAACATTATTTTTCTCTGATGGTGTGATGCAAATTTTGTATCCTTAACAGGATGGTGCATTTTTGGAAGAATTCTGTTTTTGTATGCATTTTTGAATGATAGTTTACTGGTGCAAATGTTGTTTGGAATTTCTTTTAGCATAACCGACTATTATTTGACTTTGATCCAGTACTTAGGGATTTCCTTAGTTTAGTCTTCCGGTTTTCTGATCCTGTTTCCAATTTGACTATAGTAGAAAGACCACTCAATATTTCATAATTAGTTTCTTTTTTTTCCCTTTAGCCAAACCAACAACTTTATCTCTTCCTCTGACCCCAGAGTCACCAAAGTAAGTATTAAGAAATGTAACCATTTTCAGGAAGGGAAGGGGGTTCTAGTACATTTGGCTACAGCAACTCCATTTCAGTTTGTTTTTATAAATGTGCCATATCTTCCAGTGACCCCAAGGGTTCCCCATTTGAGAACAAGACTATTGAACGAACCTTAAGTGTGGAACTCTCTGGAACTGCAGGTAAGCCTTAAAAGTCACTCAGAACTTGTGTGTGTGTGTGTGTGTGTGTGTGTGTGTGTGTGTGTGTGTGTGCATGCACATATGTGTGTAAATATATTTTAGATAACAGAAGGTGTGTGATCACTTGAATAGACAAAGAAAACCAACATCACTGAGTAAGAAATTATCTCTAAATACTTTTAGTTGCTTATTTAAAAAGTACTGAGTTAAAAGTACTTTTTAGAGAAGATATTTATTGTTTGTCAGATCTGGGCCAGACTTTCTGATACATTTTTTCCCTTTGGATCCTCACAGAACCCTATTTTGGGTTAAAATCAAAACTTGTCAGGGAATAAATGAACATTTTTTTAAGTCTCACTCAATAAATTACCGAGCTTGTAAGTGGTTTTGGTTAATTTCACTGCAGCCTCATGAGCATGTTGGTTGTTTTTTTAATTTTTAAAATGAGGAAACGAAGTTTCGAGGTATAAAGTGTCTTGCATGAAATCACTGAGCTACAAAGCAAAGGACAAATGTTAGCATTCACATTTGCTGATTATCCATACTTCACTTGAAATATGTTCGTACTCTCCGCCATGCTTAAGAGAATAATGCTGCCCTACATATATCACTACTTTTATCTTTCCAACAAGGGAGAAAACTGAACATATTTCCATACATCAAAACAAATATGCTCTTATATGTTTGTGAACAAGAGTAATTTCCTTCATCTGTTGGGACTTTTGAACTCCTTTAGCTTAACATGAGAAAGTTGGACGAATTGAAGAGTTCCTTCGAAAACTTCTGAATTGGTTGTAAACGGTACTTTTGTACTAAGTACTTTAGGTTTCGGTACTTGAACCCCAGGAAGAGAGTCAATCTCAAGCAATCTGTGCAAGACATTCCTTATTTCTGTCCATCCCTCATAAGAATAAAGGAATAGTAAGTTAGACAAAGATGCTTTCAACCAGAACTGTGGTGCTTACATGCAGCATGGTCACTGCCACTAAGTTTAATTTCACATTTTGAGTTTGCTAAATTAGCTCCTTAGGAAAAGTCTACTGCATGATTGCATGATTTGGTCAAGCAGTAGAGTAGTTCACTTCAAGGTATATAAATAGTGTGTATGCAGACTCCCTCACACATGTATGTACACACAAATATCTCTATGTATGAACTTACAAATGCAATAGAAGCTTTCCTATCTGACCAGGAAGTACTACTAATTAGTGGATTTAAAAACTTGGTTCCAGCATACAAAATTTATCATTTTCCTTTGAATTAATATGTGTAAATATACACTTGAATATCACAGTTTTGGTGGGAGATAGAGTCTTTTGCCTTCATTTTAAGTGTGGTTTCTGGGAAATCATTCGTCTTTTTTTGCACAAATCATACTAATAATACATGATAGATGGTATCTCCTTTTTGTTTCTTGTTTTATAAGGAAGAGAATTAAAAACATTCGTATGTCAGTCTTAATGCTAAGCCTCCCTGCATTTCTGTGATTTCCTCCAATGTTTTGCAATATTACCCACCACACAGAATGTGACAATAGTTCTTTCAGCAACTTACCTTTACTCTATTTTTATAAAGAAATTTTCATAGTCATATTTCATTCATTTCCATGGAATTTTGCCATCTTATAGACCATCAAAAACAGTTGCAATGAACATTAACTGGTTTGGGAAAATATACCACTGTGCCTCTTGCTAACGGTTGAGCCAAAAAAAGTATCTTGCAGCAGAATGTTCAGAATATTCTGGGCTTGAGTTCATTTTAAGAATGGGAGACAACTTACATTGTGTGTTACAATGCCAAGTTTCCCATTCAATAAAAATAAAAATAATTTTTTCTGATTATAAATATTGTAATTTTATTACAAAAGTGTGAAAAATAAAAGCTAGTTAAAATTATTCCTATTTTTAATATATAAAAATATTCATAGCATTGTTTTACCTATATTTTCAAATATCTGTGATTATCCTAAGTGTGAGAACATATATAAATTTTTACTTCAATTTTTCAATTAACATTTTAATAAGGAATTTCATGTCATCTCAAACTCTCCTTTAGCTTTCAGAGTACTATGTAGTATTAGTTTGATGGAGAATACCAAAATTTATTTACTCATATTCTTATTGTGATATGCCTAGATTGTTTTATAATGTTTTATTTTGAATTGGCATTGTGATGGAAATCTTTATTCATTTATTGTCTTATCTTGTAGGTTCCTAATAGTTGTTGATACCAAAAATAAAGGTATAAATATCTATGGGTTTCTGGTATATATGATGAGATAATACTCTCTAAAAAAGGTTTATTTATAGTGCTATTAGCATTACATGTCCATTTTTCTCCTATGTATCTTTGATAACATGGTTATCTCCATTTTAAAAATGTTTCTGTAATTTATAAACATGTTTATACTATTTAATTTGTAGTTCTTGTGTTGATAATAGTATTATAAAGAAACATTTATTTTTATTTTCTCTTGTGACAAGTTTGAACATTCTTCTGATTGGCATTTATTTATTTACTATTTTCCTTATTTTGGTGGTGCTTGATAAAAGCCCAGGTCCTGGTATATGGTAGGCAAGTGCTCTGTCATTGAGCCATATCTTCAGCCCATATATTTAATTTTAAATAATTTATTTTTTAAGTTTGACAGTTTAGCAGCCTACTATATTGAAAAGCAAGTAGAGATTTATGAAGAACCATTTGTTAACACTAATCTATAAAACTTTCTACTCTTGTTTTACATCCATCAGTAAATCAATATTTATCTTACTAAAATCTTTTATTTTTAGTACTATTGAAAGATTATTGGATACATTAAAATTTTATCAAAAAATTTTAATACTTGCTCTTGGCTGGCAATGCTTTAGGTCTTGGATTGTGTACAGAGAGTGTAAAACATAGAGATTAGTCTGTAGCACAGGGAACATAGTGGTTGGCCATAGCTGGTACAAATAAATGTTTTCATATTTAAGATATCTGCTTATAATCTATTGGGAAAAGAACACATTAATAAGTAGTATGAAAAGAAAAAAATACCATGTATCTATTTTGAATCCAAAAAGATGGGCATAGAGAGTGCTTTGGTTTATTGTGCAAGATGGGGTAACCTGCAGAGATGAGGTACAACTAAATTGCATTACCTCATAGGAATAACTTAGAGCTACAGGAAAAAAATAGTTGAAAAGGAGCTAGGAGAATGTTACAGGAGTCTAATAGGTGAAGTTTGGGACCTACTTTGAGGATAGTTTAAGGAGGAGATAGGGGTGAAACATTATTTTTTAATGGACATTCTGGAATGTATGGTATCTATAGTCTTCATCTCCTCTAAACGTATTCAGTAATATATATTGTTTGATAGTAGAAGTTGTGACAAACAGTGATTGTACCTCAGGAGAATCACTAAGGGAGAAGAGTCCTCAGAGGGAAGACAGTAATATAGCTTCAATGTTAAAGACTTTGAAAAACAGACTGAAAGAAACATGAAAGTGATACCTTTATCCTAGTGAATAAATAGGTGATTCATGGAAAGGAGTTTTTAGGAAATTGAACTCTATAGACTAATCTGCCTTTGGAAGACTTAAGGAAGAAAAATACACTTGATTTTGATACTTAGGAGGGGAAATCAGAAAAGATATATTTATGTAAGAAGAGGAACAGTAAGTCAGGAAACCAAAAAGATGCTCAAATGAGAAGATCTTGGCATGGATAATTAAATCAATAAGGGACACAGGATGGACCACATACTCCATCCTTCCTTACTCTTCTAATTTCTAAGTCTCTTTCTCTATATCCTTGATTTTTTTCTTTACCTTAGTTTTCTTAAATCTGAGGTTTTATTTGTAACTAACAAATGAAATTACTGCCTGGCAGAGGAATAAATGCAAACTAACATACAGTATTGCCGATAATCCACAACTTTTACATACAACATGGTAAATGTATGTTATTCATACTGAATTAAAGCACTTTATAAGCAGCAAAGCTCCAAATGAAAATATACTCTTAGGACTTTTGAAGGGTAGATAGCGTATCTTAGTGAAGCTGTGTAATACCTTGTTTCTGTGACTGGCAAACCAAGTTCAAAATATAAGTTTATCCTCATCTAGCTTTGAGAAATTTACTCAACATTTCTAAGACTTAAGGATCATTATAACAATATTTGCATTTCTCTAAGTCACTCTGAGGATCAAGTGAGCTATAATATGATTGCCAACATATTGTACAAGTGTGCAAGAAATGCTGACTATCTAATGACTGGTTCTCAGTTAACTTTATCCTCCAAGGCCATTGTATCTTGCTTCACAGCTTTTTAGCTTTTGATTATTTTCATCAATTCCCTAGTATTGATTTTGCTGCTACGTACTCTGGTATTCTCATATATGGAGTTATTTCTTACATTTTTGTGGTGCCTCTCCTGCAAATCTGAAAAAAAATGGAGAGACCATATCTACAATACTCTTTTTGGCGTAGCTATTGGGTTCAGCAAATCAAAACACAAGATAGAGCTGTCTCGTATTCTCCCAACAACTACTTCTCTTACTGAAAATTTTGGTGATTAATCACCCCATAATTGGCATTTTACTTATATTACTTTTTCTTCTTATTTCCTGAGAAAATTTTGCTTTTGTTAATGAGAAAAAAGTTTTATATTGTCATTAGTTTTGTGTGGACTCTGGGTTCAGCAAACATCTGTCTGACTAGAGAGTATGTCTGTTTCCTAAAGCCTGACTATAAAGACAGTAGTTGACATCTGTTATGTTAAATAGGTTTCATTTCACTTGCCAAGTGTCATTGATTGGTATTGGCTGCCAGGAGCATTGTACTGAGAAAGATTCTAAGGCCAAGCCTCTGCTCAGTGGGAATGTCGTGATCAATTAGTGATGTCTGCCATAGGTGCAGCAGGGAGTGGAGAGGGTGGAAACAGCATTCATACTGTTGATTTGTTGATGCTTGTTCTACAAGACATACTTAATCTGTTTGTTTGAAGCAGAGGAAGAGAA